CTATTCTATTCTATTCTATTCTATTCTATTCTATTCTATTCTATTCTGTTGCTGCCATGAAAAACCATATGGAAACTATATAGTCCTTGACTTACAACCACAATTTAACCTAAAATTGATGTTTCTCAGCAAAACAATTGTTCAGTGAGATGAGTCCCATTTTACAACCTTTTTTGCCGCAATTGTTAAACGAATCTCTGCAGTTGTTAAATGTGTGGTTGTTGAGCGAATCTGGCTTTCCCCCATTGACTTAGTTTCATGGAAGCCCGCTGGGAACTTTGCAAATGGTGATCACATGACCCCAGGACAGTGTAGCTGTCATAAAATATATCTGATTGCCCAGCTCCTATATTTTGATCATCTCACTTTAGAGATGCTGCAATGATTGTAATGTGAAAACTGGTCATAAGTCACTTTTTTCAATGCCGTTGTAACTTTGGTCACTAAATGAAAGCTTATAAGGACTAACTATATGCAAAGAAAGCCTTGTGGAACAATTTTTTTCCTTAAAGCGAGTGCTTTGAGGATGAAAAAACCCACTGGAATGTAATTTTGACTCCCCTTTTAATTAAAACAATGCACATAAATATGGGTGGATTTTCAGTTGTACTATTGCAGCTGCCATTTTGACTTTTTTTGACCATGACATACATACCAAGGATTACACTAGAGTCCCTAACTATTCTGCTTGAAACAGAGTGCAGTAACTTTTTACAGCTTATGATTTTACTTTTAATACCCAAAAAAGAGAGAAAAAAATATTCATATTCTCTCTCTCTCTCTCTCCCCCTCCCTCCCTCTCTCTCTCTCCCCCTCTCTTTCTCTCTCCCTCTCTCTCTCTCTCTCTCACACACACACACACAATTACAATCCATACTGAGGATAACACTTTGCCTGTTTTGTTAAATCAATTACAAAGCCTTGAGCGCATGAAATCATATTAATCAGTATTTCGACCGCATCGATAAAGCACTAGTTCATAAATATCTATAATCCAGGATTGTAAGTCAAGAATAGTTTTATCCTTCCAATGTTTAATAATTGCATTCTCTGCCATCACCAACGTGCAAGAGATCCATTACTTCTCATTTAATGATCAATTCCAATTTTTGGTGTATAATTCAAAAGCTCAGTCTCATCATTAAACAGCAATGATCTTTGTAACACAGATTCACCGTTTTATGAATATCAAATCAAATGGAATATTAATTGAACAAGCCCGTGTTATATGGGGAAGTGTTCCGCTTGTCCTTATTATATTTCCACTATAATGAAGTTGGTGCACAGCCTTTTTGCACATTATCTGTCTCGTCTTATCCACAAGGAAAAGAAGCTTTTCCAGAGCGATATACACAACATTTGTAAAATCTTTTGCCAACAGCTTTACTTGTATACGACGTTCTACAGGTAGTCCTTGACTTACAATCACAGTGTCAGCGTTCCAGAAAACCTCCACTCCAACAAATAACCCCTAGACAGGCATCTTCTCAAAAGTTCTGTTTTATTTGGATAGTAAACTGGCACATCTGGGGAACCCCGAATCTGAAAGTTCTGGGCTTTGTAGTAAAAACTACAAATCCACCCCCTGCATCACATCACATGCCCCAATCATCATCCGTCCCAGCTTGAGACTTCCTCTCACCCAGGTGCAGAATGACATGACCTTGACTTAAAAGAAGAATGCTATTATGTCTAACCACATACACTCCCAAGAAGCTCCCCCCTCCCATTTTCCCAGGCTCAAAAATGTGGCAGTGTGGAAGCGTCTAGTCTCAGTATGGCTTCCAAAGCTGACACACAGTTGACCCTGGAATTTTGGAAGTCACAAAGTGGATTATCCCATGAGCTGGCTTGATTTTACAAACATTTTTATGACAGTCCTTGAGTCGCCATGGTTATTAAGCCAATCGAATTATTGTTAAGCAAACTGTGTGGTCATTAAGGGAATCCAACATATCCAATGGCGTTCTGTGCCTTTTCTGTAAAAAAATGGCAAAAAAAAGTTGCAGGTTGCAGTCATGTGACTGTGGGCTATTGCAACTGGTTGTAAATGCGATCTGGTGGTCAAGGACCCAAAATGTGATAACGTGACCATGAAGGTATGTTTGCTAATTGTAATGTTGAAGACTGTGTTTATTTTATCAAAAGTGTATGGCTTTCCATCTCACACAGGGACTCTGGGTGGCGTACAACAAAACCCACCATTAAAATTGAATATAGAAACCAATTAAAACAATTCAATAATTAAGATAGGTAAAGCCAACTTTGCAAAAGGTTTAATAAACTGTTTCAACTCCTTCCCTCAAAACAACGCTATAGAGCACTGCACACCAGAACAACTAGACACAAGAACAGTTTTTCCCTGAATGCCATCACTCTGCTATACAAATAATTCCCTCAACACTGTCCAACTATTTACAAAATCTGCGCTACTATTACTATTAATCTTCTCATCACTCCTTATCACCCATCCCCTCCCACTTGTAACTGTATGACTGTAACTTTGTCACTTGTATCTTTACGATTTATATTGACTGTTTCCTAGTATGATTTGATTGCTGATTGTACCCTATGACTATCATTAAGTGTTGTACCTTATGATTCTTGACTCTTGACGGATGTATCTTTTCTTTTATGTACACTGAGAGCATTTGCACCAAGACAAATTCCTTCTGTGTCTAATCACACTTGGCCAATAAAGAGTTCTAATTCTAATTCTAAAAGGTTTAATTAAAATGTTATATGTACTGGTAGAGGAGAATATTTGTAGCTCAGGGTTGAAATGAGAGATTCTTTGGAGCTTTCTGAGCTTGGTTGTGTCAGGCGCAGGAAATTTGGAGCTCTAGGCAGTTCAAATGAATGTAAAGGTTTATTGCAAGCTTATTCTCTCTACAGGAATTTGAACTGTTAACTGTCAAAAGTAAATTGGTGGTAAATAAGAGTCAATGGAATTCAAGGTAGGCAGGACTTGTGGGCACGAAGGGTTACAAGACTAATGGAATAATTTATATAACTGGCAGACAGCTGGTCATTTGCGTTCTTCTAGAGCAGGGGTCTTCAAACTTGACAGTTTAAGACTTGTGGACTTCAACTCCCAGAATTCCTCCTCCAGTCATGTTAGCTCAGGAATTCTGGGAGTTGAAGTCCACAAGTCTTAAACTTGCCAAGTTTGAAGACCCTTGTTCTAGAGCAGGGGTCAAACTCAATTTCATTGAGGGCCGCATCAGAGTTGTGTTTAACCTCAGAGGGTGGGCATGGCCGGGGTGGCATGGCCAGCTGAACATCACTCATGTCGGGGGCACCTGTGGTGGCCTGGGGGCAGGCTGGGGGGGTCTATTATCTCCAGCAGAGGAAAATAAGACCAGGGAGAGCGCCAAACCCTTGTCCTCCAGAGGAGCCTTGCCATCTACTGGTGGCCAAGTGCTAAGGCAGGACTTCCCTCCCTCCCTCCCTCCCTTCCTTCCTTTTCTTCTTCCTCCCTCTTCATTCTCCTTTCTCCTTCCTTGCTCTCTTCCCATCTTTCCTTCTTTTTCTTTGCCTTTTCTTTTTCCCTTTCTCCTTTCCTGACCCTTCCTGGATGCTCAAATGCAAAAATGGGAAACATTTCTCCTTTCGTTTTGTTTTGCTTTTAGTTTGTTTTGCTAGCCCTCTGCCAGCAAAAATGGAGGCCCCCTGTCAGATGGTGCTCCATTCAAAATCCAAGAAAGGCACTCTTTAGACTCCATTGTTATGGAGAAATGAAACTTTTACTGGAAATCAAGTGGTAGCATCAAAAGGATTCTAGATCTGAGTAATTATATGCAAAAAACACATATACAAAGTTATGGCAATATTCCCACCCACAATAGTTCAAACGGTCCATCCAATGGAAGATGTGTAAAATATCATGTGGGGCATCTTCAGGTGGTGATGCAGACATCTGGCCGTTGACCTTGGCCTAGTTTGATAAAGAGCTGCACTTGCACAGTAAGCAACTAAATAAGCATAAACAATAAAGTTTTCCCCAAGTTATACAGTTCATTCTCTAAAACCTTCAGCACATTTCCCACCCCACAAAACCCAGTTGATTCACTCTCCCCCTGTTACTATGGCAGCTGAAAAGATAGCAAAAGAAAAGAAAGGAGTCTTGAAGGCTGACACACATCCCGGGCCCTGTCTTCAGCCACCAAGGCCTCCTGCAGCCCTCTGCCAGCCAAAACAGATCTCACAGCCCCACTCATTTTTGCTGGCAGAGGCACAGTAGGCTGTTCCTTCACTGTTTCCAGGTTATCCCCATGGGCTGGATGTGGCCCATGGTCCTTGAGTTTGACACCCCTGTTCTAGAGAATCCTTCAATTCCCCACCACCCAGCCAGAGCTGAAGAAGCTTCTTGGATGAGAAGTGAAACGCCTTCAAAGAAAAACAAGAATGTCCAGGTGCCTCTTGAAAAAGCACCTTCAGGACACTTTACAGTAGTCTATCGTATCTCATACGAACTGGCCTTCAGTTAAAAAGGAAAGGGGGAAAAAAAGAATCTGCCCACTCAATTACAAGAATCACACTGGCAAGAAAGGGCTTGCTAATGGGACAGCAACAATGAGGATTAGCTAGGATGGAACTTGAAAACCAAACTGAAGATCACAATTGATACCAGAAGGCCATGTCTGTATTTGTACGGAGAGTGGTGGGGAATTGAAACATGGTGGTTTTATTTCTTGTGGAAAATAAATCCTACATGTGTGCCATGTGCTCTCAAAGGGATGGCTTTGATCCCCTGCCCGCACCCCGCGCCATCTGGAAATCTGGTTGTTAAATGTCACAATCAAAGCAAGTGAGGAAGCTTGGACACTTTGGGAAATCTGGCCTACATTTGGGTAGAATCGCAGTAGGGGGTAAGGGGAAGGAGAAGCCAAGATGGTGCATGCAAAGGGTCCACCTTCACAGATGGATTTTTCAAGACCTCAGACACTGCCTTAATTGGGTGTGCAAATTCAATCTGCTTATTCACACTCAACCCATCTGTATTGTCAAGTGCCGAGGACATCAGGGGATTCAGGCAGTTCAAATGAGTGTAAAGATGTATTGCAAGCTTAAGCTTCCCTTACAAGAATCTAGCCAACTGGCAGTCAAGGGAAATGAGCGGGAGATAAGAAAGACATTCAAGGTGGGTTGGACTTAGATCTCTTGCGGGCACGTAGGGACTCGTGACTTGTGACACGTTTGACCCCTCCTGCTCATCTCCTACATCAGTATGTGCAGGGCACGGCGGAATAATGGGAGAAATAAAAGGTGTCGGAATCAAACATCAAGAGGCACCTAACTTCCAGAGTGGTTTTTTCATTCATACATTTGTTTATTATTACAGTTCTACCCTGTTTTTTCTACAAGTGTTCAAGTAACTGAGCACAAGTTAAGCATGAGCAGTAGTGTGCCGCAGCAGCCAATAAAGTTAATGCAATCTTGAGCTGCATCAATAGAGGTGTAGAAGAAGATACCATTTCTGTGCCGCAAGGAATTGTGGGTAAAATAATAAAACTCGATGTCATGTATCCGTACAACAGCAGTTGTAGCAGTTACGGTTGTGGCTGTTAAATATTAAAATGTTAAATAAAAAAAAATGTGTCCCATCCAATGACCAGGGCTCACCACTTTCAACCTCCTGATGGCTTTCCCAAATTGCAAGTGGTGATGACCATTGCACAGGTAGTCCTCAACTTACAACAGTTTATTTGGGGACCTCTCAAAGTTACAAAGTCCTTGAAAAACGTGACTTGGGACCATTTTTCACACTTATTGTGTGACAGTTGCAGCATCGTGGTCAAAATTCAGATGCTTAACAACTGACTTACATTTATGACGGTTGCAGTGTCCCAGGATCATGTGATTATGACGGTTGCAGTGTCCCAGGATCATGTGATTATCACCTTTTGCAACCTTCAGACAAACAAAGTCAATGGGGAAATCAGATTCACTTAACAACCATCTTAACAACCATCAGATTCACTTAACAACCACTTAACAACTTAACGCCTGCAGTGGTTCATCTGTGGTGCATAAAATGAGGCAAAACTCATCTAACGGATGTCTCTTTTAGCCACATACATTTGGGGCTCAGTTGTGGTTGTAAGTTGAGGACTACCTGCAATGGCTGTGACCATCATAATTGCAAGGGCCTACATCAGAATCACATGCTCACGGGAATGCATTGGAGAGCTGCAACTATGTGGATAAGTCGTAAGTTTCCTTACCCAGTGCTATTATAGCATCAGTCTCTGAATGAATGGCTGTTAAGTGAGAACTACCTGTAATTGTGAAGAAAAAAATTGGCCTGAGAGAGACAACGACTGTCTCAAAAACACTCTATAAGTTCATTGTTCCACTGGGACTCCAGCAAGAATGTATCTGGTTCAAGTCCAGGGTCTTAACTAGGGCACTGTCCTGGTTTTTCTCAGCATCATCTGACTAAGATGTTCAGCCCAGGGCAGAGGTGGTATCCAGCAGGTTCTGACCAGTTCTGCAGAACCAGTAGCGGAAATTTTGAGTAAGTTCGGAGAACCGGTAAATACCAACTCTGACTGGCCTCACCCCCATCTATTCTCTTGCCCCCCCGAGTCCCATCTGATTGGCTGGGTCTTCTTTTGTTGTCCTGCATAGGAGAACGGAGCTGGAAAGCAGGTTAGTGGGGCAGGGAGCAGTCGTGGGATTTACATTTTTTTACTACCAGTTCTATGGGCGTGGCTTGGTGGGCATGGTGTGACTTGATGGGCGTGGCTTGGTGGGTGTGGCACAGGATAGATAGTGTAAAATCTCCATTTCCACCCCACTCTAGGGGAAGGATACTGTAAAATCTCCATTCTTTCCCCACTAACCTGCTTTCCAGCTCCATTCTCCTATGCAGGGCAACAAAAGAAGACCCAGCTGGGACTCGGGAGGCAGAGAATAGATGGGGGTGCAGAGACAGTCAGAGGTGGGATTTGCCGGTTCTCTGAACTACTCAAAATTTCCACTACAGGTTCTCCAGAACTGGTCAGAACCTGCTGAATACCACCTCTGGCAGGGAGGGAATGGGATTTTGCAGTATCTTTCTCCTGCCACACCCATCAAGCCACGCCCACCAAGCCACACCCACAGAACTGGTAGTAAAAAAGAT